TGAACTGAACTGAACTTATAAAAACTATACTGAACTTAAAAGTAGTTCATATGAACTGAACTAAACTAAATATTAGTTCAGACGAACTGAACTGAACTATTCTTTTGTGTCATTGAACTGAACTGAACTATACTATAAAAACTTGAACTGAACTGCAATTTAAATTGCACTAAACTGTTATGATATTTTGAATTGAACAATTTTGACTCATTGATCTATCAAAATAGGACACATTTGTCAACTTTACTTTATTTTCCATTTTATTTAAATTTTTCAAAGGAAAAAAATATAAAATTAAGTCAAACAAACTCAGTGAATTTTACGCCTAAAAATAAGTAGTTCAACATAGCTCAATTGATCCGTTAAGTTCAACAAAATTGATACAATTTTTTTTCAAATCACTTTTTTCTAAAATTTTGGTTATTAAACTATCGAACTAATCTATTAAGACATAACATGTTAAACACATTTAATTTTTATTCTTTTATAAAAATAGTTCAATTTTTATAATTCAGTTCAGTTTTTATAGTTCAGTACAGTTCAACTTTACAACAGTTCAGTTCAGTTCAGTTTTTTTTAAACAGTTCAGTTCAGTTTTTTTTACAAACAGTTCAATTTTTTATAGTACAGTTCACCACAAGTTCAGTTCAGTTCAGTTCAGTTTAGTTTTTTTTGTCCACCCCTAATTTGGTTACATATATAGGAGTATTTGTATTTGGTGTACTTAATTATTGGCTTGATTTGTCGCCAAGTTTTACACGCTCCACAGTCCACCATTTGCCAAAGGACACGTGCTTTGACAAAATATTATATTCACTTTAATTTAGGAACGAAGAAAACAAAAACAAACAGAATTTAGCATTAAGTTAATTAATTACACGATGATCTAAATACAAATAATCACAAGGAAGAACTAAAGAAAAGACAATATTACAACATGAAAAGAGAAACGAAAACAATTTGAATTAATTCATTGATTTTATTTTTGAAGGTGCAAGTAAATCAAAGTAAATGAGGAAGGAAAGGTACTCCAGTGGCAGGAAGCCAAGCAGCACCTAGTATGAAATTAGCAACAGTGAAATTAACAGCATCTGTGGCATTAATCAGATGGTAGCCGGGCCAAGTAACCCTATCAGTAGTGTTGGATCCAGGCCCACTATTATCAAATTCCGCGTAGTAAAGGGTGTCCAAAGCAAAGTCCCCTGACCAAGCCACCCAACCCGCTGGATCGATCAAACTGTCCATAAAAGATTGCATATAAACTGTTCGTGAAAATTGCTTCCAGGGTCTTCCTAGGTAAGTTTTTGTGGTGCCATTACTAGTGGCCAAGTCACTTGCCGCGGTTATGCTACAATTGTGAATGGAGGTGCCAGTGTTTTGGTTAATGTCAGTTCTTCCCTGTGCAGTGATGGCATTGAATTGATTTTGCAGAGGAAGTCTTGGGTGTATGTTACAGTCTTGCAAGACTACCGCTGCGTTACCAAATATGAAGTCCACTGTGCCATAAATGTCACAGTTCCTATAAAATTGTCTAAGGGAATGTGTGTATAAGGTGTCTTGGTACCCTTCAAAGCTACAATTGTAAAATGCAGAGAGGTCTGCACCGCTTCGGAGGGCTACTGCTTGATGTTTTATTGCTCCAGCTGTGTTGCGAAATGTTATGTTTATTGCCACAAAACCTTCAGCAACCACCGCTATAAATTACGAAAATTATGGTTACTTATCATTAATATATACTCTGTTTATCAAAGCAATTGAAAGATATAAATATAAGAAAAATATGTAGTTTTGGGATAGGAAAATTAATTTCATAGTACTAAAGGGAAATGTGTGAGATATGAACGAGCATACGTATGACAAGTTAAAATTCATGCATATGTTCATGCTTCCATTTTCAATCATCTATGCGGTCTTGCTTGCGTGTGATCGAATATTCAATTACGCATCTTTTTGGAGTCAAACCATTTCGTATTAAATACAACTTCCCTTTTAAGAAAAAAAAAAAAAAGTACTATAGCAGCGAAAGGGAACAAAGAAAAATATAGTTTATTATCTTTTGTGTTATCAAAGAAACAGAATGAATTAATCAGAGACTTGGCACATTCTATCTTAAGGAACTTGCACTTTACCTTTAAAAAAATTCCTTCGTTCGTCACTGGACGACAGGAGTGGGTATATGGACTCGGGTCCGCGGACCGGTCCGTAAGTTCGCGGACTTCGTGGATAATAGACCCAATTTTTTCAAATTCGTATGTTTATGTTTAATTTTTGAGTCCGGCCCGTGAAGTCTGCGGGCTTGGCGAATTTTATCCGCGGACTCGCAGGCTAGTCCGCGGACTTCACTAATTAATATGTTTAAATATTACAATTTTAATATTAAGTTATGTATTTAATTTTTTTAATTATTATAATATTAAAATTATGTTTAGTTGGTATGTATTTGTCATTTGAATTATTTTTATGACATTTTGATGCTTTTATTATTGAAAGTTTAGTATTATTATTTAAGTATTTGTAATTATTTTTATCTTAATATTTTAATATTTAGTATTTTAAATTATTTTAACTATTGATAAATTTTAGTATGATAAATTTTAGCTTATAAATAAATAAAAAAATTTCTTCTAATTTTATGTATTATTTTTAAAAAATTTATTTTTTTAAACCATTATTTAAGCCCGCGGACCGGTCCGTTATCCGCACGGATTTTGGCGGGCCAGATACGGACTTAAAAAATAAGTCCATTTATTTTACAGACCGAAGTTATTCGACCCATATAAAACGCGGGTTTTACGGACCGAGCCTTAAGCGGGTCAGACCAGTCCGTATACCTACCCCTACTCGACGATTTGATTCGAAGTTGTTATAAATGACTTGCTAGAGAACGTACCCCCATATTTATAAATATGTAAAATGAATATAAAGACGAGACAATTAATTTAAAGAGAGTTAAATATATGAAATAATTTATTTATTTTTATCGATGAAAATCGAACTTAGTACCAAGATTTACAACACTCATAGTCATGCTTAACAACAGTTTAATAACCTTCGCATTAAATAACCATGTTGCTTGTAACAAATTGAAACAAGCAACATCTTCATCACTAGAAAATTATCACATATTCAAAATTGTTCAAAATTGTCATGTTCTTCTTCTTCTTCATCGATATGTGCACGACACGAAATCGAATTTTATTAAACTTTTTTGCGAATTTAATTTTTGGAATGCACGAGATTATAATAAATATTGTTCTAATGTATAGATATTATTTTAAATTTATCATAAATAATTTATAAGTTATTTTTAATTATTGATATCTTGTAAAAGATTAAAATTTTATTTAAAAAAAAAAAAGATAAACATAAAAAGATAAGATGTTTAAAACATTTTTAAGAACATTTTAGTTGAAAAAATTTTCGTAAAAAACATTCTAATTAAAGCAAAACTTCTAAACTACTCTCATACGTTAGAGTTATTCTAATTTATGTACATAGAATATTATATATATCACATAAAAATTGTTTTAAATTTTGGACATGTAAGTGTCTCTATCACTCCTACTTACGTTTAATAGTAAGATTCATTAAAACTTGTAATTTAAAAGATTAATAATAGAAAAAAGAATATTAAAAAGAATGTCCATAAAAAGAAAAATATTTAATACAAGCTAATAAAATAAAAGAAGCTTTGAATTAAAGGTAGAGTACCGAAAGTAGCAGAATTAAAGGGATTCATTTTTATAATTAGAAAGTATAAATTTCTATTGCTAGGTTAATCTATATTAAAAATAAAATGGTATCTTTAATTCTATATCTAAAATAGGATCAAATTCTGATCTTTTAATTAAAAAATATACACATCAAATTATTTGTACTATTTGTGTCAGTAATTTGTAATATGAAATATTTTAATTTAAACTAATTCATTAGTGAATATATTTTTGCTTTCTTATTTATACCTTATTTTAATATATTTCATTTTAAAGAACCAAGTGTCTTATAACAAATTGAAACAAGCAACATCTTAAATCTGAATCAATAGAAAAATATTATAAACATCTTCGACATCATCATGGTCTCGATCATGTGCATAATCCGAAGCTAAGAAAACAAAAAGAAGGTTTGAATTAAAGGTAGCGTACCAAAAGTAGCAGAATTGAAGGTAGTCCAACCATCAAGGACGCTGCGATTGCCGGTGATTATGGTCTGGTTAATTCCATCTCCTATCATCATCAAATACTGCTTGTTTTTGGGAATAGAAACATACTCTTCATACACACCAGCCACCACCTGAATCACGAAAAACCCGTCGCTACTCCCCGTGTTGTTCGGTGCAGCAGCCACAGCATCATTGATAGTTGTGAAGTTTCCAGACCCATCTGGGTTCACCACCACCCTTTGCCTCACAACAACGTTGTCCGGACCCAACTGAAGCAGTTTTCTTCCCCTTGTTCTGACAACCTCGTACACCATCTGTTCCCACACGTGACCATTTCTTTCTGCATCATTGGCTACCCATCCCCTCTTGAAGAACGCAAGAGATATGCTATAAAACATGGTTCCATTGGAAAGATGGGTTAGTAGTTCATCGTCGGGGCTCGACGTGGTTTCATGAATGCTGTTTAAACACGTGTCGTAGTTGGTCAACGTAGCACTGAGCAAAGTGTGCAAATTTTCAGCCTCTGAGTTGCTGAGGGTGTTAGTGTTGTTGATGCTTTTTTGTGTCCTTTTCCAAAAGCCCATGTTCAGGTTACCTAGAAGGTAGCAATCTTCAAGGGCGAGCATGGTGGAGTTTGGGAACTTGGATGATGGAGATTTTTTTAGGTATTTAGAGACTAATGAGACGAACTTCTTTGATGATGACAATGAGTTGTCTGCGAAAAAACGGCCATATCCATGTATGTTGGGTTGGCCGGTAGAAGGTGAATTGGATTCGCAAAATGTTGGATAAGGTGTGAGGTTGCAAATGGAATCGCTGGAGGGTGCAGCAAGAGACGCGTAGTTGGAGAAACTAATGCTTAGAGAATTATAGAATATGAAGAAGCTCAAGGAAAGCTCGGAAATGGCCATGGAGAATTTGATGAGGATGGACGCAAACAGAATACATAAGACGATATATATAACAGCTTGCTGGTAATTATAAGAAGTTGTATTCCAGGTTTAATTATCAAGACTATCATCGTTTAAAATAAGTTAAAATTAACCGACATTAACACATCAGCTAATAGTGTGTGTTCCCATATCAATCAATATGTTGAAGATGAGAATATTGTATTATATGTACTCGCACGAAAACTAATCACAAATTTCATTTTCGTGAGAGTCTCATTAAATACGATATTAGATCACAAAATTCATCATTTGTATTTTTTAATAAACTTCAACAAAAAGATAAAGCATGTTAAAAAGAGCATCATTAACATTTTCTGTAGAAATGTTTAGATTCTTAATTTTAAAACTATACAGTTTTAGTCTTATAAATAATTTGGCATTCATTTTCAAGTAACATTTACTATATAAAAAATATAAAAAAAAATTTTCACTACATCACAATTTTTTTTTAGTGTTTCTCTTGTAGTGATTATTTAAATTTAGGTCTTAAAGTTAATTTATTTTAATAAATAACGCTATTAATAACACTACTCACTACTAAAATTATTACAATAAATTAAAATAAATAAATAACATGATTTAATAACCTTTTAAAAATAAATTTATTTAATAATATTGTTAAAGAAATAATTAATATTTATTAATAAGATTATTAAACTATCAAGGAGATCTAATTTAGTTAGTGTGTATGAGTGTTGTAAATTCCTAGTATCAAATTCAATTCTTATAAATAAATATATATTCTTTAATTTTTTTAATACTATTACTTATTGTACTATAGTGATCTCCCTCCAACCGAGTCACTTCATCGTCAGCAAATCGATTCAAAGGAAATAAGGACTCTTCACACTTTGGTATTTTAATCTAAAAGACTTTGAATATTGATGATCTCCCATCGATCAAGTCACTCCATCTTTAGAATATCGATCCAAGAGAAATGAAGACTCTTTGCATGTATTACTTTAATCCAGAGGGTTTTGTATCATAATGATCTTTCACCAAGGTAATTTATGTCGATTATTTTAAGTTTTTTAGTCAGAAAAAAGTTCGATGTTAAAGCAAGAGACGTAAATTTACGTCGGTTGTGAAAACCAACGTAAATTTACATCCGACATTACCAATATCTGACGTAAAAAAATTATAAACAAAAAAAAGCATAACGAGTGCAAGTAGAACGAACCGTTTTGCTTGGAGAACGAGTCGTTCTACTTAATAGATCACAACACAGAAGAAAAGGCCAACAACACAGAAGAAAAGGCCAACAACCCAAACAAATAAAACAACATAAAGACCGAATAGAACAAATAGCCACAATAGCAATGCGAAACAAAAAGGTGTTAGCGAAACCCTGATTCATATCTAAGCTGCAACAGTGTGCGAACGAGAAACGAAGAGTTCACCCCACTCTGCAGAAGACAAAAAAAACGATTTAGCAACAAAGGAGAGGGCATGAAGGTTTATACAGAGAAGAATCTAGAAAAGTGATGAGATCTGAGTGAGTGCGTGCTTGCATGTGCTTCCCATGCACTCTTCTTATTCGCTTTTGCTACTTTTTTTAATTCAAACTTGGTAAGGTCCGATGTAAAAAAGTTCACAAAAATTACAAAAATAACACTACCGCATCTTTTTTGTCAATTTTTGTTAAGTCCGATAAAAAAAATGTGACATAAAAGACTCATTTTTCACTAGTAGATCAAGAATTTTTCTAAATGAATACATAGGGTTTTGGTCGTAAGACAACCAGATTTTGCCTGAGTGACCCCATCTTAAATAATAGAATCTACAGAGAGCTAGATATGCAAAGATGGTCTCCTTTAGGTCGACAGAATTCTCAAACTCACGAGATTACTCAAGTGTTGAACGATCAACCTCTTCAACACTTAATTGTTAAATACCTAAATAATTAATTCGTAGTCATAAACAAAGTGGAAAAGTCGGAAAGTTACATTGACGATGAAAAATGAAGCAAGGTATAACGATTAACGAGATTTAGCATTCACATCACATACCACGTATTTGCGTGTTCTTCTTTTTTGGTAGATAGGAAATCAAAACAACAAAGAAACGGAACTAAGCTAACAGAGACCTATTCCTCATGAATTCCACAGTGGCTTCGTGGGGAATCCAATAAATTATTAAAACAAGTTATATTGTAATATATTACTCTCTCTGTAATTTTTTTATTTTTTTTTATGTTTACGGTTTTAATAAAAACTTGTTATATTAGTTCCTTAACTAGTATTTTTATATAAGAATTTGTTAATACACTGGTTAACAAAATTGAACTTGTCAGCTGCCTAGACGCCATTACATATGCTGCTATACGCACCGATACGTGATATCTGAATTCTGAACCAACGCCACCTTAACTAGTTCCATATTATAAATTATGTGTTTCCACATGAAGCCTAATTGCTAGTTAAAGGCATTGTAATAAAAACCTAAATAATTCATTGAAATGGGAAGAGGGAAGAATTCATTGAATTCTTGCGACAATCAAACAGAAACTACTTTTAAAATCATTATCGTTAATGGCATATTTCTTTTAGAAGATACTTAATTTTAATTTAAGAATTTACAGATAAAAAAAAATTAAGAACCGAACTCTCGATTGACTTCACATTGGGAAAAGGAAATTAGATAAGTGTTCAAGAAAAGCCTATTTTATTTGCTCAAATGAGTTTTGGGGAAATAATTTTACTACAAACCACCACTCCTAATCCCAACAACACCCACCAAACACAAATTTAATTCCTAAACATCAACCCACTGAAAAAAAAAAAAAAAAACCTATGACTCCTCCATCAATTATTTATCTAAAAAAATGGAGGATGGTAAGCTTATTTGTTTTGATATACAAATAATAACGACCATACTCAATTGGTCAAGCCTGCTGTAAATTTAACACCTGTCTTGGGCAGCCACGTGTCCCCATTAATGAAGCGCTGCACTGTGAAGAAACTAGCTGTAGAAGCATCTTTAATCACATGATAACCGGGCCATCTGACCCGGCCCGCCACTGATGCACCAGGCCCATAGTTTCTATACTCACCGTACCACAAGGTGTCCAAGGCAAAGTTTCCCAGCCACTCGAGCCACCCTCGAGGCTGGACCAGCCCACTCATGTATGTGTTGATGTAGACCGTCCTGGAGTATTGCTTCCAGGGCCGGCCCAAGTACGTGGGCTGGGTGGCAAGAACGTAGCTATCCTGGATGGTGAAGCCAGTGCTCTGGTGTGGGCTTTTTCTGCCTTGGGCCGTGATGGTGACCTTCTGCAAGGGAAGTGGGACCCTGGTGTATATTTTGCAATTTTGCAACACTGCGGCCCCGTTGCCGAAAATGAAGTCAATGGTGCCGTAGATTTCGCATTCGCGGTAGAACTGTCGCAGGGAGTGCGCGTAGAGGGTGTCTTGGTGCCCTTCCACACTGCACCTGTAGAACGCTGATTGGTCTGAATCCACACGCAGTGCCACCGCTTGATGATTCACTGGCCCAGCTGTGTTCCTGAATGACATGTCCCTCGCAATGAAACCCTTCCCCGATACAGCTACACAATATTCAATTGCAACTTCTCAACCCATTTATATAAAGAAAAACGCATTCTATTTAAATTGCAAAATACATATATCAAAGTATTTTCCAATGGTGTTACTATAATACTAACCAAGCGTGGCAGTTCGAAAAGTGGTCCATCCTTGCATGAAATTCCGGTTGCTTGTGATAATGGTTTGGCCAATACCATCCCCCACAAGCATGATGTTTGTCATCTTCTTCTTCATGTCCACATTCTCCTTGTAGAGTCCCTTTTTTACGTAAATAATATACCTCCTTTGACTATGACTCGGAGCTGCATTAACAGCATCGTTGATAGAGCGGTAGTGACCACTCCCATCCAACGCCACAACCGCGTCCGCACGCACGCCACGTGGCTTGGCCTTAAGCAGCTCTTGATCACCCTCACTCATCCATTCAGGAAACTCCATTGTTTCACTTGTAGTGTTCCTCGGAGGCCTAAACGGTAAGCCATGCAACTGAGTGTACAAAGACAAAACATTGCTTATAAGTTGCGTCACTTGTGTCAAGCTTCCACTCACGTAACTCTCGAGGCGTCTATCAGTGCCTTCAAAGCCTTCTAGGCACGTGTCTTGATTGCTGAGTGCTGCACTTAGCCACGCTTCGAGGTTTCCCTCGTGTTGAACATTTGTGTCTCCTGATCTAAGTCTTCTCATCTCACCCATCGACCATGCAAGCTCGGAGACCGAGAAGTCCAAGAGCTCCTTGCAATCTTCTATGGCTTGTTGCTCGCGGTAACTGACGGAGAATTCGGTGATCCTTGTTATGTTGTCGATGGCCACTCTTGCTTCGTTCAGTGTGGCCTTGAGTGCTGCACTCATCACTGAGGTGGGGCTTGGAGGACCTATTTTGGTGAGCTCGTTTTGGATGTTTGTGAGGCACGAGTTTTGGTTTTCGATGTCCATGCATGCTTGTGCAATCAGGGCTTGCATGTCTTGTGTTTGGATTTCTGATGAGTAGGGTGTGGATTCATCTGAGAGAGCCTCAAATGAGGGTAAAAGCATGAGGATGAAAAGGAAACTAAGGGTGGCCATCTTTTGAGAGAGAACTAGAGAGGCAGAAAGTATGGTTGTGGTCTTTCCAAGCAACTTTTATTTATACAAGGGGAAATGTCGTGGCAGTGAGAGTTTTTTGTTTTCCTTTTCTTCTGTGTTTAATTTTATCATTCACGTTGCTTTATGCTTTTTCTATGGACAAAGTCCCAAGTTATTCTAATGCTTTCTTTTGTTGGAGGCATGGCATGATATTCTGATCTGCTTTCAGCTTGTTGCTCAACATTGATGATTCCCACTGGCCACTTTCTTTGCTGTTGTGTGATGCAAATATAGCTTCTCACATTTGATGTTTGATCAAAAGTATACATATCACTAAGGTCTCGGCTTCTCTTGTTAAACCAACCTTAAAACACATGCCTCTCCCAAGATCCTGTTCATACTGCACATTTGTTTATATATACTTTGATAAATACACAAGATAGATAAATGAGGATGGCCTATGAATCGTAATCTCACTCTAAAAGTATTCCTTGCTTCGTATAGTTATTGAAAACTCGAATTATTGGATAAGTTTCAAGTAGATTTCGCATAGCCTAGCATTGATTTTTGCGCGGTAATATAATTTCTAGAGAAGTGTTATACTCCACTGTTACTTAGATTTTGTTACAAACTTGATCACATAAGTGAGACTTATAGAGTAAGAAATAAACTCACAAAATCATATAATTTTTGATAAATTTTAACTAAGAATAATATATTCAACAAACTGAATCAGACAATGTGTTATTAACCTTTCTTTAATTCCAATTTTTTAATAGTGAAATTTCAAATTGTATTGCTAATGGATATCAAAATGAAGAAAATGTTTATAAAAAAAAAAGTTTTTGGATATATATATATAAACGTAAGTGAAAAATCTCAACGTCTTAAGTGGATTGGGGTGGAGGAAAGAAAAACAGAAAGAAAAAGTAGTAAATATGATAATAATATGATAGGAAAAGAAAAAAAAAGTCATGAACAAAATAAAGTAAAAATGAAATATAGACGAGAGAGTAAACATGTAATTGTAATAATCCAAACATAAAATGTTAGTAAAAGTTAAAAGTAATTATGTATATTAATATTACGATGTATAATGATGCTTTATTTTTAATGCTCAAATGTGATATTGTTAAACCTATTTGAAGTTACTTTGATTTTTTAATTTATTTATTTTTACTTAAATTCAAGTTCAATGACAATCCAACACCCATCTTACTTTTGGTCACATGGTTTTAATATTTTAGTTCAATGAATATCTATTGTTTATCAGAGAATTATCTATTTTACTCACACGCTACTTTCATTATAAATTTATATAAATTTTTATATTTTTTTTAGACGATGACAATAATAATATATTCCAATTCAAGTTGTCTCTCTTTTACTAAAATATTTTAAAAGTATTAAGATTAATACTTTACTTATATTAATCCTAAATTTTATAATCTTAGAGAATACCTATATATGTAAAATATTATTCTTCGACTTTATTTTCTGCATCCACATTTTAGACTTCCTTTTTGCAGAGAATTTGGAATTAATTTTTTTTTCTTTCATAAAAAGCAAGTATAACAAGAAAGTGCATGGTTAAGGAAAAAAAAAATGGATCAGCAGCAATCATTTTATTGTAAATGAGTAATGATATATATTCCGAATATAATTCGGAATCATCTTCCAAAACATTTAACTATTTACATATATCAAAATAATTAAATAAAATGATTTTTTACCTTTATTATCTTAAAATTTTAAACATTCGGAGGATGTTTCGGTAAAAAATTTTTTTGAAGGATATATCATTTCTGATTGTAAATATATCAGTACCTCAAGGCTCAAACATCGCTTTACTAAACGCGCTTTGCTTTTGATTCGTTACGTGGATTGGCAACAGAATAAGCTTTGTATGTGTAACAGAAACTGAAATCAGATTTAATTCGAAGATAAGTAACCTCATGCTTTATTGGAGAATGTAACTTTAGAAGGTGAAAAATACCTCTCTAGAAATCTGTCAATGTCACCTAATTGAACTCATGCATCTTATTACTAGTGTAATAGAGGTTAAGGAAAAGAAAATGCAACTGAAATTTAAATTTTCGAATCAAAAAAGATCTTAATGAAGCAGCATTGCTTCCAAGAAAAGAAAGTATAACAGATTGATAGCGTGGCTATAGGCTAATCCCATCTGATCTTGCAACCCCGTGCATTCATTGCCTCGAGCATTTCTGAGGAAAGCAAGAACCTGAGGGACCTCTTAAGTTTAACCTTTTTAATACGACCACAGCAAGCTCTAAGGGCAAGTTCCAATCCTTTGACAGTGACTTTAGAAAGACACACCAGTTTGGCATCCTGGAGGCGTTTCAGGTTACCCATAAGCAGGCACAACACCATATCTGAGACAATACAGTAGCTCATATTTATCTGCCATCATCACCACTATGTCCAGTTAGAACATAGAATTACGTCCCCCAATCCTAACATAAAAAATGTTAGCAACACACTTTCTGACACATTCTCTCTAATTAATTGAAATTTATTGAAAAGCATAAAATTTGATGATGCTCTCACCCTATTTAATGAGTTTCTTCCCTAATTTCGTAATTTTCAATAAATTCTAACCAATGAGAGGGAGTGTGTTAAAAAGAGTGTATTGCTGGCACTTCTGATCCTAACATAACAGTATTTCCATCAATTACAAGCTGTTTTAATGTAAATAAATATCAATGTTTAACCTATTTGAAGAATAATAACATGTGCACTCCTACAAAATATATATATATATATATATATATGGCAACTTTAATTATTGAAAGCATAAGAAAAAACTCAGTCGGTTAGCAAAAACCGCTTGTTAACACAAAATAGTAAGTTTTCTAAGTTTAATTTATTAAAGATTTAAGAGCATATATCAGATTTTCAATTTGAAGGAAATAAAAGATTATTGAAGCCAAGAAGAAACATAAACTTCTTTTAAAAAGTAAGATTAACAGTTCCAATGTGATAGATAATATGAGAAAATGGAGAAAATGGGAAACAGAGCCATATAGAAAACCAAATTAATTGCATGGCTCCAATTTATGAATTACAAAATGATATTAGTAGGTATCCAATCAATAGGTGTGCAGATATAATTTATTCTTTTAGACTAATATTCTCCTTTCTTCACTTATCTTGAATAAAATCTTCTATAAAACAGCTATTACTATCATTAACATCCAGCTTTATATGTTATTCCAAAATGGAGCTGAATATGAGTAAGATTTGTAGCAAGATGAGGCAGAAACTTTAATCTAATGTGCAAAAAAGTTTTCTAGCAATAATAAAATTTACAGTGTTTATCCTTCTTTAAGTCCAAGGCAGAAAATAAACTTCTCCACAAGTAATTATAAGATTAGAAAATAAGAAGAAAAAATTAAATAAGTTACTCTCATAATATAAAATTAGCTCATTTACAAGTTAAAATCAACTTTAGAGAAACTAATTGTTAATATGAAAAAGATTCTACAAATAAACTTAAGTACAAGTTAATTTTAGCTAATGAGAAATTTATTTCATTTTTCTTTATTTTATTTTCCCATATGTGCTCATGAAAAAGTCAAAGCTAAATGTGTGACTGGAAGCGTGAGATCAAACATAAAAATCAAATTTAAATGGGTATAGTTACAAAAGCATGGAAAGAGAAGAAGAATATCAATCACCGATGAAGAAAGGATAGCGGGGAGCCTAGACAAGCATCCAAACCAAGGTTTAATGGAGAATTATAGTTTTAAATTTGTCAATTAGATCAAACCATATAACACTTTGCAACAATAAAGTAACAAAACCATTAGTATCAATTATGTTCATTGATGTAACATTTAGAATTTTTTTACAATAAACGTTGGACTTTTAATTTAGAGGCCACAGTACTGTGTTAGTTAGAACTCATGAGATTCAGAATAATAATAACTTGATTGAGTGAAAGTAGCACCACTGACCTGCCGCAGGTTTTGTGAATAATAAGCAAGGGCCCAGAAACCTGAATCATCAATTTTTTCACAATGTTTCAAATCTAAATCTGCCAATCTCTTGCAACTTACTGCAACTGCTTTTATACCAATGCTTGTGATGTTTGAAAGCCCACGCAACTCCAGATCAGATAGTTCACCAAGATTGCTGATATACTCCATTCCTCTGTCTGTAATTCTATTGCAATATGACAAGTTGAGCTTTGTCAACCTCTTGCATCCACTTGTCAGTGCTGCTAACCCATCATCACCAATACGTACACAGCTGTGATCGCAGAACAGAATGGACTAAACAGAATCACTACTTTGTTCATTATTCATTGAACCATGAGCAATTAACCACATTGACTGTAAAGTTCAATTACCGATAGAGATCAAGTTCAGTCATTTTTGGGCAGTTACAAGCAATGTGTGCCAATCCTATGTCCGATATGTTTGTGCATAATCCTAACTTCAATCTTACGAGTTCTGAACATCTTGATAGATATCTAAGTGCTGCGCAAAGCAGAAAATTGGAAATAAACTAATCAGAACCATTTGCAATTTTGAACAAGACTGATATATTATTTACTCGTACAACTTCCACAGTTTACCTAAGTCATCAACACCAGAGCAATCAGTGAGATCAAGCTCTTCAAGCAGCAAGCAATTTAATCCAAGTTGATAAAGACAATTCTCAGTCATCATATCACAAGACTCTAGCTTCAGACAGACAAGGTCTGGACAACAGTTTGCTATAATAGAGATGGCTGCATTAGTGATGAAACGACAACAAGTCAAATCAAGTATCTTCAAATTGCGACAGCCAGATACTAGTTGCATAATTCCCTTGTTGGTCACCCCAACACATTTGCTTAAACCAAGTTCCACTAAAGACTGGCAATTGGTGCCAATTGTCTGGAGGATAAAATCAGAGACTCGAACACCATCAATTCTAATTATTCTCAGCTGCTTCAAATTCTCCAAGCATTTAACAAGAGGTGCTGAAAGCTCCTATGGGAAATGCCTGAGGTGTTAGCGTATATAAAACTTATCACAATAAAATATGGTACACAGTGATATCACTATCATATACACCACAAATTTTAGAATTTTAGACATAAACTTACAGAGAGGCAGTATCCTGCATCCAACTGCTCAAGACCTTCATGTCCACTAATTACAGATATTAAACCGGATGAGCTAACACAATCACACCTTGATACATCAATTGCCTGCAATGCATGGAAATACTCTATGTTGATACTCCGGTGAACACCCCCTCCATCAAACTTTAATAATTTTTAAACCATTTTGGTCATAGTTTATAACTTATAATACCTTAAGCAGTGGACATCCTTTTTCAAGAAATCGCAATCCAACATCATCCACCAAAGAACAGCCCACCATAACGAAAACTTCAAGCTTTAACAGAGAAGCTATTGATCTCAAAGATTCACTCGTTACCTAATGATGAAAGACTTTTAATTTACTTATCATATTGTCATTGAAATATGTTGTTCTTGGGAATAGTGTTAAGAACAATATCGCAACACATAAATATGGTAGTCTGTTGTCCATGCTCCTTAGTCAAAGAACAATAACTATAAACATATACTACTCATTTCCTCTTTCAGCTCTTTCCCACTCCAATTTCTTCTTATCTCTTTTTGTCTTTTCCATCGTATCATCATTTATTACATTTGTCACTTTCTCTATTTATCTTTTAATTTTCTGTAAATTACACGTTGAAAATTGCTTAAACACTCCCTACATTTTCTACTTCTATAATAACTTTCTTAATTATTTGAAAAAAATTACACTTAACTTTCTTAATTATTTGAAAAAAATTACACTAACACCACTTAGACATTACACTAAATATTATTTGAAAAGCATTACATTGTGATTCCCTATAAAAAGAAGTTACTATAAACATTAAAAAGCAGGGAGTGTCGGTGCAAATTCATGAAACCTCAAGACTATCAATTTATTTTATTCTTTCCTTTTCCTTTTTCTTTTAATTTCTTTTCTTCTTCCCACTTTCATACATCCCAAGACGGGCTGTACGTTTGTCATAAGTCATCAAGGAACTTGTTTTCCTACTCTATTGTTCTGCATTGCTCGCAATTTGGAAACCATAAATCAGAACGTCTATTCCTTCTTCAATAAGAAAGAACAAGGATACTTATTCAAATGGCAGTACCAACTGCTCAACTATAATTATCCAAAAACCCACATTAAGAATTTGGTCGGTGCTTCCCTCAAAACCATTTAGGAATCTGAAATTGAATTTTAAAAAAGTGCTTTTCTATCATCAACACCGGCAACGGTAGGGAATGAAGTGGTTTGCTTTAGTCACTACTCTCTATCGTCAACTTCGTGACCTCAACCTATTCCCAAATCTCAATTACAAACAAAGTATATAAAGTCTCTCACATAACTCTAATCATTTAGTTAAAAATAACCATAATCCTTAAATATGTAGTCAAAGTTCAATCCCATATTCCCGTATGTAAAATAACATGTTTTAAAGAGGTCATACCATTAAATGAATCTTAGTATTTGGAGAAATTATAGAATGATTAGTCTTTGACTGTAAGGCGATACTCAAATTCAAATTCAAAAAATAAAAATAAAAAAAGTAAAAAAAGTCTAATCTCCACCATTTCTCTCTCTCGATTTATCCATGAATATGAATTTATGTGAGAAAACGCAACAAACCTTGAGATAGGACACGTCGAGAAATTTCAAGTCCAAGCACTTCTTGCAAAGCAGATCAATCCCCAGATCAGAAATCTCGAAGCACCACTTCAAACTGAGCCTCTCCAATTGGCCACACCCAACAGCAATCTTGGCCAACCCAATATCAGTAACCCCTAAACACTTATCCATGTTGAGTTCCCTCAAGCTCGGGGCGCACGATAGCGCCGCGGCCTCCCTGTCACCATAGCCCCAACAATGGGACACATCCACGGCCTCCAGCACAGGGCAGGCCCGAATCAGCATCTCCAAGCCCAGATGGCCCAACCCGGTGGCCCGGCTCAGCACGAGCCTCCTGAGTCCCCGAGTCCAACTCGCCGATCCCTGAGTGAGCAGAACCGACACCACGCCGTCGTCGATCCGCGGACACAGCGACAGGTCGAGCGTCTCAATGTTGCAGAACTTTTCCAGCAAGCCGAGGAGGAACTCGATTCGGAGGATCCGAAGGGTTTTCCGGGTTGCGGATTCGACCCGGAGAAAGTCCTTGCACACCAAGCGAAACGGTTTCCGGTGGGAGCCGAGCTTCTGGAGGAGTCGGATGAGTAGGTCTTCGGTCAAGAGGCAGAGAAGGGATTCGGACATGGTTGAGGATTAGGTGATTGGTGAGGTTTTGAATTGTGGAACGTGGAATTGAAGGGAAATAGGTTTATGTGGGAACGAAGAGGAAGAGGAGGCGGAGGTGGAGAAGAGGGTGGTGCGTGCGTTTGGAGAGCGTGCGAAGGTGGAACCTGCAACGGGGTTTCTCTGGCTTCATTGTGTTGGGTGGAAAAGTTTACAAGTGTGAACGACGGAGACTTTGTTTGGATTTCAGAATTATCAATTATGAGACTGCGCTTTCGCTTTCTTCGGCTACGCTACGCCCATGTCCTGCTCAATACTCCCTCATGTGCTCACACTCACTCATCTTCCTTCGATGCTGCCTTTTTTTATTTATTTCTTGAAGATCTGGCCGTGACAGGGGAACAAAACTTAACACCAATTGAAGAGAAGAGACTGTTCTTTTCTGCTTTTTTTCAAATTGAACAGGTCGATGCCACATAGGATTCACACGTATCGCCTGATTAAATATTATTATTTCACTTCTCTTGTTTTTATTTCATCTTGTTATGTTTTGTTTGGTATAAGAAAAAATATATAAATAAAAATCAAATAAAATAGAAGAAAAAATACAAAATAATATGATTTTAAATTATTTTATATGGGAAATAAAATTAAATAAAAAAAAAATTTAATTAGCTTTTTGTTAATAAATCATCGTCCATCTCTACTTTGACAAATTGGTTTTGGGTTTGAAATTTTAAATCACCAATGAATATCCTTCACTTTTTATGACTTACCTTACATAATAACCTATCCATTAACCTTTTTTGAGTCTTTAGACGTCTATAGATATTTCTTGTAATAAGTGTGACAATTGATATGAGTTTTCAAAACATGTGCTTAAAGATTGTAATTATGCTCAACGAATTTGACAATATTTAAAACTAGATCAAAACAACAACTTCTATAATATAGACTTATATGAGTGGTTTCCTCATAATCCTCATAGTGCAACAACTACAATGTTTGCGGTTATATGTTAGATAATATGAAAAACAAGGAATGCAGTTATAATTGAAGAAATCAATTGGGACATGTGAAATACCATTAATCAAATTCAAACTCTCTTTATAAATATTAGTAGCTCTCTTTACAAAAACTTGAAGATGAGAGAAGTTAGAATAGTAAAATGAGAACCACCAATTTTTTCAACAATCAAATTAAACACTGACAATAGCTCACCAAGGAATCGAGAGATATAATTTGCAACCATAATGGACAATTTATTTTTTTTTTGTTGCTATTATGAGGTTTTTACTAATCTCAAAAATAAGTTATTGAATATCTTTTATAGGCTAGAAAGCTTGTCATAATGGTATTTCTAGTTGTGAATGAGATTTCATAGTGGCCTTAAAGTTGATTAAAAAAATGATAATATTTTTCATCTATATTACTCCGATTATAAAGAAGATTTAACATTTTGTTTCTTTAAATTGGATTGTTAGTTTTTAACATATCATCTAACAAGCTAATTCATTTATAAATTTTTTAGCAAAACATGACATCACACATGATCAATTCATTCAAGTTTGGATGAATAATCCTCTCTAGCTTACTTCACTTTTGTTGGCTAATGTCATAGGTATCTTATATGTTAGAGTGTAGTTTTTTTTTATCTTACACTTTTTTAATTTAAAAAAAATGTATTTACAAACTTTTTTATGATCACAAAATATAGTTGGTTACCTTTTATTAAGATATTTCCTTCTCAATCACATATATTTTTTTATACAATTCAAACTTAATATCTTATTTAAAAGAAACAAGAACCAAGTTCGATGTTGTAAGAGTCAGCCTTTGACATTTTGTAAACACAAGATGATATAATAAATAAGAGTCATTTAAAAAATTTCAAATTTAAATATGTATTAAATAATAAAATAAACATGTAATTTTAATATAAAAAAATAATACATTTTCTTAACACTATATGAACAAGATTTTAACAAATCTTTAAATATATAATAAAATTTTTTCTTTCTTTAATTAACTATTATGTTGTATTCTATCATCAACAAAATAACACAAACAATTTATCATAAGAACTTTTTATAATTTAATATATAAAAAATGTAATTCTCTTTTCTATAATACAATCAATCAAAATTTGAATCTTCATTTAAAATAATAATTTTTATGTATGTTTTGCTCGGATAAAATAAAATAAAAAAGGTGATGAGAAAAAAAAAATTAAAGAGGAATAAAAGTAGAATAAAGATAAATATAAAATAAGTAGATTCTTAGAGTGTTTAAATAAAATTAAATAAATAAATGAGAAGTGAAAAAAGAAAAGTAAGGAGACATTTGTGACTTTTTTTTTTAATATATCAATTTTTTTTTTCTGAATAACCTCACCCCCATTTTATTTATTAAAATGACCCATTTACTATTTAAGGTGAGAAATCGGTTGGGAGAACCAATTTCTCACCTTCAGTTTTTATAACATTGAAAAGTTTGCAGTGAGAAATCGGTTAACGAAAAACCGATTTCTCAACTGCAAGATTTTGTTTTGTTTTTTTTTTGTTTTTGATTTTTCTTTTGTTTTTTTTTTTCGTTTTGGTATTTTGTTTTTTTTTTGTTTTTCGTTTTTGTTTGTATATTTTTTTTTGTTTTTGTTTTTTTATGTTTTTGGTTTTTGTATTTTGTTTTTTATTTTCAAAGTATCACACGAAAGGCAAAACGCTATTCTTCCTTTGCCGTTCTTGAAATCGGTGCGAAACGACGCAGCAGCCTCATAGGTCGCCGCCAAATCAAGTAGCCATTGAGGTCAGTCCCTTTCTCTCTCCCATTCCATTTTTGTTATTTCGCTAACTGTTTTGCTTTTCATAAATTACTTGCTATTCAACCGTTTTATAACATCCTTAAACCTCAACTAGATCTAGCTTTGTTGTTATTCTATAAATTTGTTCATCTTTCCTGGCATTATGGTGTATCACGTATATAAAATTTTGTAGCAATGCAAGTTCACAGCAACATGCTCGTTTCGAGGAAAAAGTAGCGGGGAGGAGGAATATTACTTCCTTTGCCAAATAATTAAGATATGAATTGTTACAGTGCCAACAAATGATCACTTTTTCAACATTTATCCTTGATTCTTTTCCTTCAATAGCTGATTAGATTATACCATCCTTCATAGTTAGGGTTACCCAATAGGATGCTTCATGCTTTGAAACCATTAT